GCTGGGTTTGTCAAACAACTCTTCTTGGGCCTGGAGTGGTCAGGAAACACTAGGCAAAGTGAGTGAGGAAAAGAGGCCAGGCATTGGACTGCCCCAATCTGTCCATGTCACCAGGAAAAGGAATAAATAGCATGATGGTATGTTGGCAGCTAAACAAGAAGTCATGTCTGACCTATAGGAAATAAAGCAGCCAGAACACCCTTCCCCACCTCTGTGTGCTAAACAAGAAGTCATGTCTGACCTATAGGAAATAAAGCAGCCAGAACACTCTTCCCCACCTCTGTGTGTGTGTGTGTGTGGTGTTTTGCTGTTGATTTGAGGCTTGTTCAAGGCCAAGTTGTGCTCAAACTCATAATCTCCCTGGCTCAACCTCCAGGTGCTGAGATTACAGGTACAGGTCTCCTTGCCTAGTTTAAAGTCAGTTTTGAACACAAGCTATTAACTAATTTGTGCCTTTGAATATTTTCTATAGCAACTCTAATATCCTTTTAACTAGAAGAATTCCCTGGCCTGACTTTTTGTGGCGGGGCTCTTCTATTAAAAAAAGAAGAGAAAAACTACGAGCATGTTTGAAAGGTTCAGGCATTATGCTGACCTGCCCTTGTTACCTGGCAGAATCCACTCAGGCAGTACCCTGGTCAGCCCAGGGTTCCTTGGGAACTGAGTCTGTACGCAGATGTAAAGGACCCCTTTAAAAGACAGACCTCTGCCACTTACGCTGTCTTCTCTTATGCTTCTCTCTCTTTCCAGCAGTCGACCTCTCTCTCCTCTTTCTTACTCTCTGCCTTGCTCTGTTCTTCCATTTCTCTCCCTCTCACTTTCCCGCCCTATAACAAACTATGACTAATGTATCTCTTGTTCTCAGTCATATTGCACCTTTTTTTTTCTAATTTAAGCAAAAGAATAACAATGTTAAAAATCTGTTCCATGGAACCATTATTGCAGACATTTTAGGATCATTTCCAGGATACATTTGACTTGTACACAGGACCACTTCTGATTCAAGTGCTATTATTATGCCCCTTTGACAACAACAACAACAAAAGGAAACTGGGATGTCAAGAAATCAAAGGTGGTACTGGAAGTTGAAAGCAGCAGCTGAAGCCTGGAGCCTGGATTCACTCTTTTTGGAAGCCATAGTCAGTTTGTGAATGCAGATGTCCAAGGCTGGGAGATGTCTTGTTAAGGGCTATCAGAATTATAAGATTTGCTTTGATGAGTGGTAAGTGCAGAGACTAACAGATGCACAGGTGGGTGGCTGTGCCTCTTGAATTCTGACCCCACTCAGCCCCCTCCTTTTCAGACACAGCATGCTCACCGATGACTATTGCAGAACACCTCATGCCTATTTGTCAGAACATTCGGAAGCTACTGGGCACTGACAGCAGAGGTGGGCTCCCAGCAGACATTTTCCAAACCTAGATTTCGTCATAGGATCCTGAACTTCCTAGACCAGGATATAGCACCAGTAACATCCTCTCAGTGGCAGACAAGAGCTTTCTGGGTGAGGATGCAGCTTGTAGTTAGTGCTTGCAAGTTTCCAGCCAGGCACACGCCTGGCCAAGGAGAAGGAATGTACCTCAGCCCAGATCTCCCACAGCTAGTGTCTCCAGATAGAACATGAATAGCTAATTCTTTTTGGGGACTGGAATGCTCACAGTGGTGGATGGAAGGGAACAATTGGTAGGGTGGCAAGTCTGCTCTGATACTCTTCTGTTGTGTCTATTACCTTGATCAGAGGACGGTGGGTATGGTAAGTTAAAGTCCCGAGAGAAACTTACTTCTCTACAAGTTCTAACCCAGTGATTCTCAAGCTGTGGGGCACCACCCCTTTGTGTGTGAGGGGGTAGTCACAGGAGGCCTTAACAGGACACAGTAGGTCATGAGAATACACAAGATAAACAACAACAACAACAAATAGCTGTACATTCTAAGTGCTAGAATGAGTGGGTAGTCTGGTGAGAGAAGACAATTAGCAAATGGCAGTAATGATAGCCCAAGTATTAGAATTAGCAGGACAGCCAGGTGGTGGTGGCCCATGCTTTTGATCCCAGCACTTGGGAGGCAGAGGCAGGTGGATCTCTGTGAGTTCGAGACGAGCCTAATCTACAAGAGCGAGTTCCAGGACAACCTCCAAAGCCACAGAGAAACCCTGTCTTGGAAAAAACAAAAAACAAAACAAAAAAAAAACCCACAAAACAAAAAATTAGCAGGACAAAGTCCAAAATAGCAGATTATGTTTACTGCTCAGTGCCACGAGAAAAAAAAAAAAAAAAAAAAAAAAAAAAAAAAAAAAAAAAAACAGCCCATCACCAGACAAGCTATTATATTTATAGGACTATATAAATTTATATTACTTATAAAACACACACAAACACATCCCTCCAATCTGAGATGTGGAAAAGAGCTTCAGAGAGACAAACAAAGCTTCAAAAGCTGGTGAGACAGCATCAGGAAAGCTAAGATTACTGCATTAAGTTCTGAAAGGAGGAAAGAAAGATAGGTCCACAGAAAACAGTTTGAAACAGTAATGCTGAAAATGTCCTTTATTTGATGAAATCTACAAACTCCTGGTACGAGGGAGTTCAGCACTCCAAACAGGATCACCTCAGAGGAAACCATTGCATGTAACCTGTGGATGTTTTTGCAGAAATGGAGGCAGCCAAGGTCACTGCAGACACCCAAACTACTAAATGAGTGAAGGGACTAGAGCCTCTGCCTTACCACCTGACCTGCTCTATATAGCTCAAACTTCAGGTTCTTTGATTCTCTTGCTTAATCTCTGTATTAGAGGGTTAAAATTTGGTGAATGAAACTTCAAACCCTCTCTCTCTCTCCCCTCTCTCTCTCTCTCTCTCTCTCTCTCTCTCTCTCTCTCTCTCTCTCTCTCTCTCTCTCTCTTTGTGTGTGTGTGTGTGTGTGTGTAGAGATGGCTCCTGTTCCAGGTGATCTGATATCCTCTTCTAATCTCCACAGGGACCAGACACACATGTGGCAAGTAGACATACACGCAAGGCAAAACATTTATACAATAAAAGCAAATAAAGATTTAACAATTTAAAAATGATAATATGTAAAATACAAACAAAAGCTTTGATTTTTTTTGGTCAAATTTATTTCACTTTCTGTCTATGAGTGTTCTGCCTACATGCATATTTGTGTGCTACTTGTGAGCCTGGTGCCCTTAGAAGTCAGAAGAGGGTTTGAACCCATTTGAACTGGAGCTATGGATGCTTATGAGTCACCATGTGCTGACGTAAATCCAGGTCTTCTGAAAGAACAACCAAGTGTTCTCAACCTCTGAATCACCTCTCCAGCCCCTGCTGTTTTGTCCTTGTAGTTTTCTTGGGCTGCCCCTGCACCTCTTTGGGACTCTGACAGCAGGAAAGCCATGACCAGAGGAAGAACTTTGTAACATGATTAATAAAGGACCCAGAAACAGATATTGGGTTCAAGCTTTAAGCTGAAGATCAGAGAAGCAAAGCAGCCAAGCCAGTAGATCTCACCTCTACCCAGCTGAAATAGCAAACCTGTCTCCACAAATCCTCAGAGGCTTTTAAGCTCTCAGTACCTGTCTCCTCCTCCTTTTATTCATTTCTCTGCCCAACCATATCACTCCTGCCTGCACCTCCCTAGTGCTGTGATTAAAGGCATGTGATCCCAGTTGCTGAGATCACCTTTGTGTGAGCTGTTTCTTTTAGGACTGGATCAATTTCACATGGTCAGAGTGGCCTAGAACTAACAGAGATCCATCTATGACTTAATCCAGAGTCCTAGTTGCCAGAGCTAATTACTGTGGCTGTCTTTGCATCCTGAACCCTCAGGCAAGCTTTATTAAATCATAAATAATATTATCACCACAGACCTTGTCATTTTTCTTCCAAATTTGGACTCAAAATAAACAATGATCTCCATAAAACAAAAGCAAAGCCTAAAATCATTCCAGATAATGGGAACTCAGGTCATGTATAAACATATCCTGGCAAATTATCTGCCAGAGCAGTTGTTTAGCTAGTCCCTACTGGGGTGGGGAAGTGACCCAAAAGACTGAGCTACACACAGGGGATCACAGCAAGCTATTGGTTGCTGCCTAGCATATGATGGACAGAGTATTATAGGTGACAGTAGTACGGCCACTACCAAAAAAACAGAGACTTTAGCTGAGAGAAAAATGAGTGCCTAAAAAAATTCATTTTCCTGTCAGAAATTCATTGATTATCAAAAGACATGAAAGCACGGAAAGCTGCAATGCAATAAAATGCTGAGGCTTTCAGTGATCCATGGAGAGGGTATAAGAAACATTCAGCTAAATACAGAAGCAAATCAGTACACATCATGATCAAAGGGCCCGTAATTCAAATAATGAAGAACTTTGCCAGCCGGGCGTTAGTGGAGCATGCCTTTAATCCCAGCACTCAGGAAGTAGAGGCAGGCGAATCTCTTGAATTAGAGATCAGCCTGGTCTACAAGAGCTAGTTCAAGGACAGTCTCCAAAGCCACAGAGAAACCCTGGCTCCAAAAACAAAAACAAAAAAAATAAACAAACAAACAAAAAAGAACTTTGCCAAGCATGGTGGCTTAGAACTACAATCTAGTACTTAGGAGACCAAAAACAGAAGATCACCAGAGGCTTTAGGAGCAGTGTGGACACCAGAGTGAGTAATCATGGTACTGTCTAAAATAAACTGAGAGCCGACATAAAAAGACAACTCCTTCCAAGTCCAAAACAAAAACAAAAATAGTATAAGAAGCAACATGAGGAATTTCAAGAGAGAGAGAGAAAAAAAGAAAGAAAAAGGGAGGACATCATGGTAAAACTCTGCCCAAAAAGAGCAGGCAAGATAGAAAAAAATAGCCATACACAAATATTGAACCCTGATAAAGACAAGTTCACAGTAAACAAAGACAATGAATATCAAAACAAAGACACTGGAAGCCCTGTAGAAACTTTCACAGCATAACATGAAAAAAATCAGCGTTTAGACAGAGAGAGAAACAACAATCCAGTCTCAGGATCACGAGTGGCTCTCTGCAAAAGCTGGTGGTTCGGGCCAGCAGTGAGGTGAGGGTGGCGCTCAGGTCCTGAACGGTCAGCCCGCCTGCCTGGAACCGACGCAGCAGATCCTGGCGCAGGCTCTCGGGCACCTCACGGTAGAAGAGGAGCTCCCAGACAGAGACGCTCTGGCCCTGGAAGTCGCCGGTGCCAGGCGTCACTCGGGCCTCCCGGAGGGCCCGTCTCAGTTCCTCGCTCAGGCGGTGCACAGTGGAGCCCTGTGCCGCCAGCTGCAGCATGTAGAAGCCAGTCTCTGGGTCCCGCACACAGCGACGGAGCAGCTGGAGGTAGGTGAGGTTCTCGTGCGTGTTGGGGTCGAAGAAGCCCTTGGTGTCGTCACCGGGATCGGCCAAGATGCCGTTCATCTCCTCGTCAAAGTAGCCACGTTGGTAGGCCACGTCCACGGGCACACGGTGGCTGTGCGCGGGGTCGATGACCCCGCCCGTGGCAATCTGGGCCTCCAGCAGCCGGATGCCGTGGTCCTTGACGATGAGGTCCCTCTGCATGGCCTGGAAGAGGGAGATCTGCTCCCCGGTGTAGGGGTCCGTGTAGCCGGTGACTGCCCGCTCAGCAGACAGCAGCTTCTCTTGGACCTCGCCACCCACCACGCCCGCCGCCACGGCCTCCTCCACAGACAGCCTGCGGTTGTGCACCGGGTCGATGATGAAGCCCGTGGCCGCCTGCGCCTCCAGCAGCACCAGGGCTGTGCCGGGCCTCAGCACGCCCTTCCACATGGCCTGGTAGATGCTCATCTTCTCCTGCCGGCCAGGCTCTCCCTGCACCGGCACCAGGACACCCGCAATGCAGCTGGTGCCCTCCAGGTAGCGCTTCACCGAGTCCATCTCCGTCACCTCCTGCGGGGTCTTGGTCCCCTGTGCCAGTCCACGCAGGGTCTCGGGGTCTATGATGCCGGATGTGTGCAGCTCAGACGCAGTTACCTGGCGCCTCAGCCCAGGGAAAGACACCTTGCTGAGCCTCTCCTCTGTCTCCTCCACGACCTGGGTGAGGATGGTGATGAGCTCGTGCAGAGCCAGGGTGCCGGCCAGGTGCTGGGCAAGGAGCTCCTCTCGGCGGGTCTCGCTGAGGTAGGAGGGGAAAAGGGCCAGGCCCCACCACCCTGGGCGGGCCCCCCCACGCCCCCCAC